TCACATTATTATGGCCTGGAGAGAATGAGGCACCTGGGTGTAACCAGAGGGTCTGGCTGGCTCACTACACTCAGAGGAATGGCAAGACAGACATATAACCAGATTGTAACCGGTACCATCAGTATTGGAACTCTGCGCTGGCTGCTGAAGATGAGGACAGAGCATGCATGGGAAATGCCCCGAGTGCTGTGATGTCAGTTCTTGACTCAGCTCAACTCTCTCTCTCTCTCACCTGTGGGACAAGGTAGCAAAGTAAAATGGAAGAGAATGATGCAGCGAGGAGTGACTGCAGGCTCTGGACATCATTTGAGATAGGGGAAAAGGCAAGATGAGTAACTGGCAACAAAAACTATCAGTAGGGAAACTTTTCACTGGCGGTAGAGAAGAGAGACGGAGCTAATGTATGCTTGCCCTGAATGTTGTGATGTTAAATCTTTACCCAGATAACCCAGCGACCGAAATCTTCCCCTTGTATAACTATATTTATCTTTCCAGTTGTGATATGTTCAAATTGTTCTCTTTTGCCCCACAAAAAATAACTTTCTCAAATTGTTGAGATGTTAAAAATATACCCATATTTCAAATGCCACTATTTGTAACATCAAAATATAACTATATGTCTTCAGAGTAACAGATTTTAAATAACATATTCTTACAAACACTACACTACTAGTGCCAAACTTGGACATTATAAAACATACAAGTATATTACAAAGACATTCAAGTAAAAATAACTATGTCTTCAAAGAAAGAGATTTTAAATATTTTTACCAATACTATGCTATGACTGCCAAACTTGGATTTTATCAAAAACACATCGTTTAGATATCCAAACATAACGTTTCTGCATTTCGGCAAAGTTTTATATATATATAAAATATATATATTTATATATAGCATATCAAACACTATGCTACGACTGTTAACCTTAGATTTTTTTTTTCTAAATACCACGTCAATAAAAGAATATGTAGGATGAGATGTTTGAGGAATGCCTTTAATTTAACTATCTGAGACTGAATTAGATGCAATACTTTTAGACAGATGAGCCACTGTGGTGGAGCTACTAAATGCTCACCTTCCGACCCAAAAGTCGGGGGTACAAATCCGTACTAAGAAGACTGATTTTTCATATTTAGAGTTATTATTTTGCATTAGATGATTTTTGTTGTTGTTATATATGAAAAGAAGTAATCATTAAATACAAAAAAAGCACAGAAATTATGCTTTCCTTCTCTTTGATCAAGAAAACAGTGGTTTATTATAGCGTGACAATAACCAAAAATATTTTTTTGGGTTAATATAATCATACCCCCCATGTGTACACACTATGCAGTTGCAGTCAGTACACTTGCAATCAGTACTGTTGCAATCAGTACACTTGCAATCAGTACACTTGCAATCAGTGCTGTTGCAGTCAGTACACTTGCAATCAGTACTGTTGCAATCAGTACCAAATCTGTTATACAGATGTATTGGCCACTACCCAAAGATGTCATATGATTAAAAACTGTAAAAGGCGGAAAACCAGTTTTCTTTAGATGACAGGTTTAAAAAAACCTTGTAATTCATAAGGAATGACAAAAGATAGTGCTGCCCATCAAGCCGTGGACCGCTTAAAATTCTTCCCTACAATGTCTGATGACATTAGTAGAGGATGATGTCAATGATGCACAGTTTCAGCTAAAGCCAATATTGCTGCACATTGACAATCAGTCAAGGTTTAGCACATCACATGTTCGATGATGTTCTGCAGTACTGCAAAGTGTCTACAAGGTGTTGTCTTTTCCTCTCTGGTGCATCTCAAAAGTGGAGTGACAATCGTAACTATCATTACAATGTCAATGTGTTTGTCTACACTGTGATGTCACATGCTTAACACTCTTGACATTCTTAACAACAATATTGACAGGTTACAAAACAATGGCATGGTTACTGTAATTTCTATCACATTTCAGTTTTCAACTAAAGAATTATGTACAAACTGTAAAAAGTGTTTCATTTAACACATACATTTAAAAATATACAATTTTTACGCACAAACTGTGAAAATTGCTACATATATCTCTAAAAAGCAAAATTAATACATGCAGATTGTAATTCATGTGTGCATTAAAAAAAACCTCTTAACCACTTTCCAGACCCTATGCCAGCCCTGCTTATAACCAGATACATCTTAGTGAAAGAGGGAGACAGAATAAAATAAGCATTAGTGAAATGTTCAACAACCTCATAGCAACGTTGAACCATCCTTCTAGACAATTCCAAAAATGTAAAAAATATCAACATGTCTTAGTTACCCTGACTGGAGTACATAAATAGCTTCTCGACAAGTTGTTTTCAAAATCTACTGCGGCCATTGTATTTTTGTGGCGAAATAGAGGTGTTCATAACACATTCTTGGAAGCTTCTGGAAATGGCTATGAGCAACTAAAATGAAACAGCTGGTCTTGCCAGAGGGGCTTAGACTTAGAGGGACCAATAGAGGCAAGTCTAGGCAAAGGCTTCTATAAGTCAATCCACTGGGACTTTTTGGTTACTCTAGAGTAATTTGTAGAGACCCTTAGAAGGAGATGTTGGTAGGCCAGTCTTCCATCTGATACATTCATTGTCCTATCGTTGCCCTCTTCTCTGTCTTACAACTGTTGATGCTAGTGGTTACCAAGACCTTTATCTTATTTCTTCACCCCTCTTGAATTTACCCCATTTTACGCTCAGCATTTTCCTAGGACGTTTATTTTCTAATCCATTTAACCTTCGTTAAATACATTACTATCCAATACCATACGTCAAATCTGTTTTGATTTGTATGTATATGTGTGTGTGCATGTGCAGATGTGTGTGTACATGTGTGTGTGTGTGTGTGCATGCATAATGTACACAAATGTACTGATTATCTGTTACTTAGCATACTACAATATTCTTAACATTATTTTAATATAAAAACTTGGTTACATAAAAGCAGCAGTGTTTTAAAGTTAAAACGAAAATAATAAGTTAAAACGAAAATAATATACTCTACATCAATTAAAAGTGGAAACATATTAACAGATTGTTTTTAAATGATACATGTATACTCTAAATCAGTTAAAAGTGGAAACATATTAACAGATTGTTTTTAAATGATAAATATATACTCTTCATCAATTAAAAGTGGAAACATTTTAACAGATTGTTTTTATTGATAAATGTATACTCTATATTAATTAAAAGTGGAAACATTTTAACAGATTGTTTTTAAATGATAAATAATAATAGTTACTAAATAATCTATAAAAGTGTCATCGCAACATTAATTTTTAAAATGTAGATATTAACTGATTTTCTGCATCAGGTATTGTTCAGAAAACATATTTTAAATGGCAACATATAGGTGTAAAACTAACTTTCAACAAATCCACTTTTTAAACAATATATGCATTACAATATAAATTCCACAAGAGTTAGAAAGTCCGTTGAACAAAAAATAAAAGGATCTATACAACAAGATCACAGTATTCAAGAAGTCTGGTTACTACCAGTCTGTGTCCCGAGCAGTGCACCATGTGTGGCTAGATACTATTTATGTCTACCAATGAACATTTTAACACAGAGAACAACTAAAACAATTATTAATCAACCGCAAACATTCATTAACTAGTGCCTGCATACAATAGAGGGAATAAAGTGGCATGGTAGAATCACCAATGTTGAGCATTAGGACAGAAATAAACAAATTCAAAGGAATCAAGAGGCTAAGTCAGGAAGCTGGCATTGAACAAGACGCACACTGAGAAAACAAGAGTACAATATAGTTAGAGTGTCTTGACACTGGAACCCACAGGGTCATACAAATAAAAGCAGACCCCCCCCCCCCCCCCCCCCCTTCTTTCCCCCACATGGAAAAGAGAGTTGGAAAGTCAAGTTAAATAAGATAGGGAGGACATGGGGTGAGCTGCATGCAATAACAAATGATAGGATGAGTTGACTGATAGCCTATGCTCCACTGGAGAATCAAGGGCAGAAGAAGAAGAAGACTAAACATGTCATGCATGTTTCTACATTTTATGTTTAGTCAGGGACTCTGAAAGGACTCTGTATTTGGCCCCTGTGGAAGCAGTACATCTATGAGTTTGGTGTTATCTTTATCGCCTTCTATGGTCCCTAGTTGTGATCTTCTATGACTAAAAGAGTTAAGAAATGTAATCTATGAAAATGAAGTATTTTAGGCATGAAACAAGAAGTCTGGAAATATGATCATGAAGAGAGGCATTTCTGGAAAGGGAAAGAGAGACATTTCAGCAATGAGAAAAACACAACTGACATACATTCAAAATGTGATAAATGATTTATACATCATAGCCATAGGCTACACAATATAATTACTATACTTGTTAGAAAGTACATTTAAACATACTGAACCTGACATTATATACTCCTACAATCTTATACATTTGATACATATAAAGTAAAAAAAGTAAAGATCTCTTTTTACGCTCTAGGCGCATCAGGCATATGGGAAGAGCACCCATATTTTTACAGACCATCGACACTAGGTGGGTAATGTGGTCAGCATTACACCAGCCGTCTTTACTTTCTTAGGACATCGATCCTGGTACCCACTTTAGGCTGGGTCGACTTGTGACGCCCACATTTATTACATATGCTTTGCAATAATGAATAGCCACAAATTATTGATAAGAATAAATATCTATTATAGAAATACAAGACTTTATACATCCTTTTTTTAACCGGTGTATGAACATGATACCGTTGATTAAATTATTACCCCCAAATCATAGCTGCAAACCTGTTAACCACAATGACCTTAGGTATCTCACATTTTAAAATTGTTTAATAAATTTCTGATGTGGGAGCAAAATGGCACCCAATGAGAAGATGGACTGTTGATATTGAAGACACTAAGAAATAGCAGCAAGTACAACCAATCGAGGATTGGTCGGCAGACTCTTCCTCACCCTGATGCTAAATGGAAGAAGTTGATGATGATCTGAGGAATCTCAGTCCATTAAATCAATTCGCTGAAAAAAGAAAGAACATAACTCATAGTGAGGTGTTTACCTGCAATCATGAATTATAATTTGTAATGAAGTTACTAAAGTATAATCTTAGCTCGATGGAAACGTGGCAGTCTGGGGTTCTATATCTATACCCTCTTCATGTCGCTGTTGAGTCATAAGGCATTCACAAGTGATCTCCATTGTTGCCAGTCAGCTGCTTTTCTGCTCATGGTATCCCATTAGTTTACATTTCTTTATGTCCCATTCTATTGTCCTTCTCCAGGTTTACTTAGGTCATCAACGTCTCCTTTTCCCATCTGCTGTCCACCGGAGAGCTGTTTTTGCCAGAGTGTCATAAGGCATTCTGCAAACATGTCCAAGCCATCTCCATTGTCTTACTTTGATAACATTTGCCAGTGATGCACATTCTCTTTTCCTCCTCAGTTCTTCATTGTTGATCTTGTTTGGCCAAAATATTTGTAGAATTCTCCTTAAAAATTTATTTTGAAAAGTCTCAAGTTAATTTGTAATTCCTTCCATCATTTTTCAACATTCACTATAGTCTGGGGTTAGTTCACTAATTTCCCTATACAATAATCTGAGATTTCTTCTTCTCTTCTTCTTCGTGTTCATTGGCTGTAAACTCCGGCTGAAAGTTCTGGTTGTTCGTTAACTTCTTGACTTCCGTCTGGCTAATTGTATGCAAACTGTTGGTTTTTTCACCTCTAAGAAGGTGCACTCCAACTTTGAAGAAAACACCTCTAATTGTTGGACTTATATTAAAGCTTGTTAGATAGGCAGTAAGTCTATTCTATTTTTCCCAGTTTTCCCAATTTTTTACTCAATGCTATTGCTCGGTTTTAGTGTACAATCTCTACTGTGTGTGCTGTCTGGGTAAGTAGAAGTCCTGATAAGTGGAAGCATTTTCTTAGGTTCCTGCAACTTCTACTTATCCAGACTTGACTGTACAAAGGTCAGATCTCACAGTAACCGAGGGAAGCTGTGGTCACACAGTGGCCTGCCAGCCTGAAGGTTGTGGGTTCAAACCTATATCAAAGGTTATTTTGGTTATGATAAGTTTGCTATACACACGCAAAATAAAATTATTACATAAGGTCTTTTGCCAGCCCAAACGTAAACCGACTACCAGCCATATTGAATACCACAACTCAACCGTTATGGTCTAAATATCCTAAAACAGGTACTAGAAAACATCCTTGGAAGTAAACGTGGCAGGTGTGACACTGTCCGCATCTCCCACTGAGTGCTGACTATTTGCATATTTCTGTCTTTCCAGAGGACAGCACATGGCAATGGTGAATGTGACTAGCAAGAGCCACTCGCATTAAGACAAGTCTTCCATAATTAAGTTCAGAGGTCCCGAGCAGTTAGCATCCTTTGAATATTCTCTCAAGGTTATGCGGGTGTGTTGGGAAATGAGCAGGCAGACAGAATGGCCTGTTCTGCACCTCTTGGTGGTTAACTGATGTATATGACAAGCTAGATGTTGTGAGGGCCCTCTGGGAGTGAGTGAACAGTGCGGAGGCACAGATAGATCATTACAGTCTGAGGAGAATGGCGCTGAGAGGAATTACTAGGGTATGTGGCCAATGCTCAACACTCAAGGGAAAGGTGAGACAGGTATACAATCAGACAGTTACTGGTGCCATTTGAATTGGAACTCTTCATTTACTGCTCTTATGGGAGTGTCCAGAGTGCTATGATGTCGACTCTTAATTCAACATTCAGCATTGAACATTCCACAATTAGAGCAGGCAATTTCAGGACCATTGTTGCCATCACATGTATTTAGTTGTTTCTTCTCAGACACTCACCTCTCAGCCTATCTGAAATAATTTTGTACTTTACTTGTATTTCTTTCCTGATCTGCTCCCTCTATTCAACATAGTCCATGACATTTTGTTCCCATGAATCTATCCCAATATTTATTCATGTCCAGCATGCAAACATCTTTACATCGTAGCAGAAGCTGGCCTCAACATGTTCTACTCATCCTTTATTCACCATAGAGGATGTCCTTAGGGATGCTACCATCCTTCATTCTCCATGTATGACCCAGCCACCTGAGCATTTAGACAACTTTTGTGATACTTGTTCTTTCCAATACCAGAGTGTTTGTGATAGTGTCTTGCCACTAAATGCCATGTATTCTTCTTGGGCATCATATGTGAAAACTGTTTCGCAGTTTCTTTTGGTGGAAATAAGCCGACCGGTGCCGAATAGTCTAGAAATATAGATGTCTTGCACTATATGTCCAACGAAAATGCTCAATGACAACGACAGCGACAATGACAAGAGCATGAGAAAAAAGTTTTACAGCATTAGAGCAACTTACATCAAGTTCTTCTTGCAGACGCAAAGCTAGTTCTCTATCTGCATTAATGTTGTCCCATATTGGTCTCTCTGCTTCATCCATGTCAGGTGCCCAAGCATTATCCGTGAGAAGTTGATGGTTGGCACCCCCAATCTTTGCTTTGCATTCCGGACATACAGACTCTTCCATGGCCTGTCCACATTCACCAATAGCATAGATGTGACCTTTATTTAATTTAGAAAAAAGATAATATTAATAATAATCATTCTGTCAATGATAAAAAACATCACGTTTCTAAGTTGGATAGCAGCCACAGAGGTGTAGCTGCTAGACACTCGCTGTGGATCTAAAGGTTGTAGGTTCAGGTCCCAACAGAGCAGAACTATATTTTTTTTAATGTTTTTGGCTCCTAGGTCTACCCAGCCTTTGATTTGATTCAAGAACCGACATGACAGCGCTCGGGGCATTCCCATAAGCGCTTTGTCCCCATCTTCAGCAGCCAGCAAAGAGTTTTGATACCAATGGTGCCAGTAGCATTCTGATTAAATGTCCATCTTGCCTTTCCTCTGAGCCTCGAGCATCTGCCAGAACCTCTCGTCACTCCCCGCTGCATCAATCTCACCAGACTACCCAGCCTCAAATGTGTACAAGGTAAGGTACTAGGAAATAAAGGCAGTCGGCATGGTTTTGACCATATCACCCACCGAGCGCCAGTTAGTCTATAAAATACAGACCTAGCCATAAATGCCTAATACGCCTGAAGATGTGGAAAAGAGTCCTTTACTAAAATTAGATACTATTCAAAAGCAGATAATGGATAAAAGTGGTCACAAACAGATAATAGATAAAGTGGTGATAAGCTGAAACACTTCTAGTACTGGTCACAACTGTAACTGCCATGCAGTGGATGCCGCTATAAGAACAATGACAAGGACAACTTGTCCTGTAGCAGCACTGCTCTTTAAAAAAGAAAAATTATTTAAAAAAAGAAAAAGAAAACAAAATAGACAATGTACACTTTCTGGTCATGCAATGAGAAAGAAAAACTAAAATACACTGTGACAGTGGAATAGTTAGAGGGGGAAAGAGACAAAGGGAAATCGAGAGAGGAGATGCTGTACAGTTTGACATCATGGTGTGGAAGATCATCGATGCCAGAAATAACTGAAAAAACATGGAACAGAAGGCTGTGGATAGACATGACTTCCAACGCCACAAAGCATGGATATCAGAATACTTTTTTTTTTTTAAATGAATAAGAAACGTAATAAGAAACTGTAAAAAAAATCAGTGATGGGAAAAAAAAAAAAGAGGTCCAGTACGAAACAAGTTTTATTTTAACTTGTTTTATTCTAAGTTCAATCAATGTTTGGGTATCTTCATCTTCTTCTTTTGTCATCATACTGTTATTGGTTGTAGCCCAACAATGATGTTCCTTCCACCTCTCTGGTGGTGTGAGTGATGTTTTGTTAATCTTTCTGCAAGTCCCCATCAATCTATCTTTTCCTTGGCCTTCCTCTCACCTTCCACCCAGATATTCTGCTGCAGAAGTAACACATAAAATCTGGTCAGGCAGAATTCTTACCAGATGGCCAAACCAGTTCATTTTCTTTCAATGTAATTCAGGAAAAATCTAATTCCAACAGTTTCTCTAATGCTGGGATTTGTAACCCAGTCTCTTCTTGTGTTGTTTATGATCTTTCCAAAACAGATAATTTCACAGTTTAGGTTTGAGGTATTAATAACACAATGGGATAAGAGTAGTAAAGTAAAAATTTTGGTCAAGTAGGTGAATGTCTTCATCTTAACCTTCTTCTCACCGGCTGTAAACTCTGGCAGAATGTTCTGGTAGTTTGTCTACTTCTGGACTATAGTTTTGCCCCAGAACTTGAGTTTGCATGCAAATCAATTTTAGAGAGCTGGCATTTTTTTTATGCAGACTGCTGGTTCCTCACCTCTCTGGCAGATGCACTCAGACCTAATTTTTGGAACAAGACCTAAATCCAAAAGTGGATGAACAATCAGAACTATTGGCCAGAGTTTACAGCAACTGTATGCTAAGAAAGAGGAGAAGAAGACTGACACAGAGAAATAAACCATGAACTGAAAACAAGGTTACCATTTCTGCATTTGTACCAGGCTCCCCTGCTAACATTCACAGCTCTGACAATCTCCAGTTTTTCTGCTGCCGTAAGTGCAATATGAGTGTCTGGGATTATCTCCTTCAGTTTGTCACAAAGAGTTTTGGCCTCCTTAACAGCAGCCGGGTCAGCTCTCTTGTGTGCCGATAACTGTCTGTGAACAGAGATGGAAAAAAAGAGGTAAATTAAAGTACACTTTTTTAACCAATGATGTAATGTGCATATGATGCTTGACTCATATTTTATGTGCATATGATGCTTGACTGATATTTTATGTGCATATGATGCTTGACTGATATTTTATGTGCATATGATGCTTGACTGATATTTTATGTGCATAAGATGCTTGACTGATATTTTATGTGCATATGATGCTTGACTCATATTTTATGTGCATATGATGCTTGACTGATATTTTATGTGCATATGATGCTTGACTCATATTTTATGTGCATATGATGCTTGACTCATATTTTATGTGCATATGATGCTTGACTGATATTTTATGTGCATATGATGCTTGACTCATATTTTATGTGCATATGATGCTTGACTGATATTTTATGTGCATATGATGCTTCACTGATATTTTATGTGCATATGATGCTTGACTGATATTTTATGTGCATAAGATGCTTGACTGATATTTTATGTGCATATGATGCTTGACTGATATTTTATGTGCATATGATGCTTGACTGATATTTTATGTGCATATGATGCTTGACTGATATTTTATGTGCATATGATGCTTGACTGATATTTTATGTGCATATGATGCTTGACTGATATTTTATGTGCATATGATGCTTGACTGATATTTTATGTGCATATGATGCTTGACTGATATTTTATGTGCATATGATGCTTGACTGATATTTTATGTGCATATGATGCTTGACTCATATTTTATGAATTAATCTGCACTTAGCGGGTGCTAAAGTCAAGATAATGCCGACCATCCATACTTTCCTGGACTTGACCTGGTCCCCATTTTAGATTATGCCTATGTGGAAGAAGAAAACTGTCTGACTTGATGTGGATTCAAAAACAAGATTGTGGGGAACCATACTACCATGGCTTCCATAAAAAGTTTAATAGCTTTTGCAAATGTAATATTGCATTTGTTTTTTTGGGGGGTTTTTTTTTGGGGGGGGGGGGGGGGGGGGGGGGGGGGGGGGGGGGGGGGGGGGGGTGGTTGAAACTTCCGTAGTGCAATGGCTAGATGCTTTGCAGTCTCCTCAAAGATATAGCATCTGAATTTGCTGTAAGGTGGGAATGTCCTAGGAAGTAATGCAGACTGACATGATGTTAATGACACCATCTTGGAGTGGCAATTTGTCTATATATATATTCTAATGTCAAAAAAGTACTTTTGTGGAAATATGCAGAAATCACAAAAGGCAATAACTAATAAACTACAAACATTCATTAACTGGTGCCTGTACAGGATAGAGGGAATTAAATGTAGAGCTTTGGGAAAGAACTAAACAAGTTCCAGTGGACCAAAAGATGAAGAAAAGACACTGGCATTGGATAGGATACACGTTGAGAAAATCTGAGAACAATATAACTAGAATGTCTTTGCACTGGAACCCACAGGGGCATAGAAATAAAGGAAGACCCACACACACACAAAGCACGGAGAAGGGAGCTAGAAAGTGAAGTGAAGAAGACAGGAAGAACTGCATGCAACAGCGAAGGATAGAACAACTTGACATGAGTTAGCTGAGGGCCTATTCCTGATTAGGGATAGAAGACAGAAGAAGATATATAAGCAAAAACTCAATAGACAATGTTCAAGAAGACAGCCAGATGCAAAAACTTCTTTTTGTTTGCATTTACCAGCTGTAAACTCGGAAACAAAGTCCTGATTAGTCAAACTCTGGTCTTTTTCCAGAAACTTAGTGTTGCGCCAACATTGTTTTCTAGATCTGGCTGTTTGTATGCACACTGGTGGTTCCTCACCTCTCAAGTTGATGTTCTGACTTTAAAGGAAATGTCAGTTTTATCTACATTGGCCAGATTCCCTTGTAGAGCATTTGTTTCTAGAATTACGTCTAGAGATCAGACCAGTAAGATCAACAGTGCTGGTACACCTCAGCATCCTAAAAACAGAAGCTAATACAATAGCAAGAACATAATTTTTTTTGCAAGATGGAAAAAAATTGAATTTTGTATCGTAATAATAATGGAAAAGACAGTGATAGAACGTGGGGTTTGTGGAAAGCAAAGGCAGGGGTCGACATCTGTGAAGATGGATACAGGACATTGAAGATGCATTTGCACTGAAAGCACATAGGGCTGGAAAGCTTGCTAGGGAAAGAGTCATGTCTAAGGAGAGTGACATTCTGTAAAGGACTTGCTGATTGATGATGATGAATAAAAATGTTCAACTTACATGACTGTCTGCCCAAGCATTGTGACATGGCGGACTTCGAGCTTCTCATGAAGACCCCGTTGTTTCACAGTCTCATTAATTTTACACAGGTCCAGAAGCACAGTTAGTCGATCTCTCTCCAGCTCAGCATCCAGTCTGTTTTGCTCTGAAAAAACTGATCGCTTCTTGAGAATCCAGGTGCAGAAACATTTCAGATCCTGAAGAATATTCTTCAGTATTCCAGAGCTGCCATCAAATCTCCGTATGCACTCTTCTGTGGCTTTACGCATGGCTGTAACTAGCCTGAATAAGTTCACCTGGTTCAGCTGTGCTTCCAGAATGACCTCGGACAGCACCTCCCCTCCTGATGAACATAAGAAATGACTCTTTTAGTTCCAAGCAGGTGTACTTTATAACATTTTGTTGTAAGGAACTGTTACTCTATCTAATCAATGTGCTACTGGAAAAAAAATCTAAACCTTAACCATTTTGTCCTGATAAGCCACAAAACCAACTTCCAGTTTGTACCATCTTCCAATAAAAGCCACTTTCCTGTCTCAATATAGAGACATGTTTGAGAGACGTCTAGTTAACACAATTCACTGCGGCTGCACAAACTTCAGCATGAAAAGGGATGATTTAATGTACTAGCAACTGCACTGGGGGAGGAGTTGTGTTAAATGGCTTTATTTTTATAAATATCTATGTCATATTTTCCCAATGGCTACAGTGGTTATTGTGTGACAAGGTCACAGGGTCAAGTACATGTGATGCTATTATTAGATTAATGACCACAAGAGACATAACCCAGCTGATTTTATACTGTTTTTCTTTGCATTGATAATCCCTTTAATCTGCAAAGTATTTGTTTAGGTTTTAGATGATAAATTAATTTTGTGCAATCTTTTTAATGTAATATGTGTAAAACAGTTGTTTTTCTAAGGATCTATTTGGAAATATCCAAAAAAATATAAAGTACAGAAGTGTGGACTTTTTTTTTTTTAGATCACCTGGGTGAAAGGGTAAAGGAATTTTCTGTGGAGAATTGTGCATCTATACGTATGCTATGATGTCAATTTTTAAATTACTAATCAATGTTTGGGTTTGAAGAATTAAAATAATAACATTCTGGGACTCAAATAGTTAAAATAGAAACTGGCACAGGCTGAGTTGGTGTAGCAACTGTCAGTAGAAATCAACAAAGTCATGATTATATTCTTGGTACTGAATAATATTGATAGTCAAATTTTAAAATAGTGTTTTAATAATCTCAAGGGACTCTTTAAGGCCAGAAAGCCACAAGCTAGGGACACAACTTTCAAGCTGAATGACTGACTGATTGTTTCTCCCCATCTGCTGCTCCATGAAGGTTTGATACCCAGACAACCCAAAGTGTCACATCATGGATGCTAATTCAACAAGGATAATTCAAGATAGTTCATTTAACCTTTAAAATGTTATAATCTAGACACGTGTGATGGAGATTTAGGCTTAGATGATGAATCAACATCATGGCACAAGGGTAGTAACCCATAAGGGCTTCCTTCTGACTCAAGCCCGAGTCCGAAAAATCTCAGCGCAGTGCATGAAATCCGTAGCACTGGCGAGAATCCTGAAACACTTTTGGTAGATTTTTAAATCCAAATTTTGCCCGCACAGCGCTGTTGGGCTACTCATTTTCGATTTCCAACTGCCAAGGTATTTTTTTACATGCACAAAAAAAAAAAAAAAAAGCCTCCAATCTTACTACCCAGAGACCAGGGTAAATTACTTAAAGTCCACATGAGAAATCCCAGTCTTCACTGGGGCTTGAAACCAGACATCCAGAACTCAGGTCGGATGCCATGCCTGGAGACAACGCAGCCTCCCCCTAGGATGGGTAAAGAAATATCATAATGGGATAACCCCCTGTGTGGGTTCCGGAGCCCCATTGTGGGGAAAACAAGAATAGACCCACTGCCTCCCCAAAAGCATGTCGTAAGAGTCGACTAATTGGGGAGCTTCCTTTGAAGTCGGAATGCATCTGCCGGAGAGGCAAGGAACCAACAGTCTTTATTCAAGAGAATGAGATCTGTAAAACTAATGCACTCGCAACACTCAGGCTCTGGAGCAGGACTGCAGTTCAGTAATGGACGAGCAACCAGAACTTTCCGCCAGAGTGTACAGCTGGTGAACGCAAAGAAGAAGAAGAAGAAGATAATGGGATAACCACATGCGGGCGGACATCTGAGAAGACTATCCACAGGATCTGATTTTGATTGGCTAGTTATTTTTAGTTTGTGACGCATTGTTTTCTCACAGTACGCAAATTACTGACATTGAGGGACAGTGGTTTAGTGGCAGGTTTGGAAATTCCCGTAATAGAGGGCCAGCGGTCTAGTAAAGTTAACAAAGCTATTTAAGGAAAGTCCCTTAAATGGTATTTTTGTAATTATATTCATATCCTGACCTCCTAACCAGTGCACAGCTGCAAATTCAGGGAATAGTATTAAGTCTTGAAAACATGGCACTGTGGAAAAGACAGACAAGTGACATCTAAGGGGAACTGGACCAACCAAAAGTGTCAGTTTTGTGATTTCTCAGGGCAACAGAATTAACTCTTTCAGTCCCAGATGTTCTTAGCTAATTTCTGAGAAAAGCAATAATTACACAAACTTATGGATTTTATATATCTAAGTGGTCTACATACATAATCCTTGTATGAAACACACACAAATTTCAAGTTCTTTAGAGTTTGCATGCCAATTGCTATAAGTGAGTAATATCTAAGTCACACATGATGCATTCTTGGGATAGAAAGAGTTAAGCTTTTCCTATACATCTTCCATTCTCACCTTTCATAGCACAAGATTCTCAAAAACATTAGAGTCAATATCTGTCTTTCAATTCTTATAACCAGTGCCTTCACATATCTAGCTGATGGAGAAAAGAGTTGTTAGTGAGAAGAATGTTCATTCAAAAAAAAAAAATATATATATATATATATATATAAAAGCATGGTTAGATTTGAAAGATAGTGTACCTAATGTTAGAGATTGATTACCTTCTTCAATAAAGTTGTCAATGATTAGTCTGTCTTGACCTCGGATTTCAGAAATGACATGTTTTAGACGTCTTTTCATTTCCGTATGCTTTTCTCCAATATATTTCTTCTTTACGCTCTCAATATATCGAAGCATTTCCTGAAGTTGACACCAAAAAAAAAAAACGTTTTTTAAATCAGGTGGTCAGAAATACTCCCATGCATCTTTATGAGATAATTTAGTTTACAATATGAATAGCAATTACATCTATATATTATCTCGATGACATTCAATACTCAGGGAAATGGCCAGATTTACAAACAATTAGATTGCTACAGATGACTTTGGAACTGGAACTCTGCACTGGCTGCTGAAGATGGGGACATGGCACCTAGGGGAATGTCCAGAGTGCTATGTTGGTTCTTAATTCACTCAGAATGGATGATGTATATTTCTTAACAAGATGAGAGTTAAGGAGAGTAATATCCCTTGATAGTTATGACATTTAAAAATACTTTTTTGACTTGTCATGTCTGTGGCTTAGGGATTATCAATGCAGTTTTATAATGCCGACATGCCAGGTTCAGTCCATCTACAGGCTTTGTGACAACAGATGGCTTTATATAAATTTTGACAATGGTATTAGAGTTGTGCTGTTAATAAGCAATGGCAAACTATTCTTCTTCATCTTCAGCATTTCAAGTTCTTGAGGCTCACTGCTGCAGATATCATCCACCTCCATTCATGTATCACCACTGCAGATATCATCTGCCTTCATTCACATGCAGCATTATCTTTCCAGCTGCAACTCAGAGTGATTGTAGGTGTGCATGTATATTACCTCTCCATTGTCTTCTTGATCTGGCTAACTATTTATCTATGCAGCACACACATGTTTATGAACTTATGAATGTTCACCAATTTCTTTGTCCACAACCAGACATTCTATAATAATTTGCTGACTGTAACGCACAGTCCTCACAAGCCATTCTTATGTTGTGTATGTTTTTTTTTTAGGAATGCTGTGCCATTTTGTACATACGCAGACATGTCAACTTTGAAACATGCAAAATTTCACGTTTCTATCTTTATTACTCTCTGAGGAAAAGCAATAACAGAAATGAATGCTTATCGTACTTTCACACAGAATAAAGAGGTGCTGAATCACATGTGGTGGTGGACCAAAACTAGGGTACACATGGGACAAGATCTATCAACACCTCTTTTAGGTCATCCTAGAAATAGGAGGGCCTCGCCAACATAGATAGGATCAATGTTTCTGAGTGCATCCATCCAAGAAGCAAGGAATCAACAGTCTGCACACAACTAAGCCAGATGTGTAAAATGGATGTGTATGCAACACTGAAGACCTGGAACAAGGCCACAGTCTAAAAGCTAGCAAACAGCCAACACTTTCCTCCAGTTTACAGCCGGTGAATGCTAAGAAGAACAGGTACTTTAACACTATTTTGTCACTGCAATTCATATCATTTACACATGCACAATTTATTTACCTTGATCTGTTTGTTGTAGCGGGCACATTTTCTGACTGGCGATTTGCAGACCGGACAACATTTTAATCCAATAACCATGTTACCAGACTCATCACTTGAGGCAGTACTTGTTTTCATCCACTCATCCATGAAATCCACTTCAATCACATGCCCACAGTCCACTTCAATGAATAAGGTAGTTGGATCACCATCGAAGCCATACAGACTTTCACTCACAAGTGTCTGAAAAAGCCAGTTGATTCCTTCATTACCAGTTAGTGAATATTTCTACTCTATTCTTCTTCTTCCCAATCACCGGCTGTAAACTCTGGTTGGAAAGTTGTGATTGTTTGTCCACCTCTGGACTTTAGTCTTCTTCCAGAGCCTAAGTGTTGCATGCACATCTAGTTTACAATGTGGCTTATTTGTAAGAAGACTGTTGGTTCCTTGCCTCTCAGGCAGATGCACTCCAACTTTGAAGGAAGATACCAATTAGTTGACTCTTATGAGATGCTTGTTGGGGAGGTAGTGGGTCTATTCTTGTTTTCCTCACAGTGGAGCCCCGGAAGCCACATGGGGAACTAACTCTGATTATGCTAAGTCAGTTAGTAGACATGTTGACATATGATCCTAACTGTGCATTGAGTCATTCAGTCCAAAAGTACTTAGATCCCCTCCTCAGTATAATCCAGTGTATAGTACCTGACAGCATCAGTTAAAGACTGGTTTATTCTTCTTCTTTGGCTTCTAGCATTGTGCTTTTAACTATTTTCAGTTGCAGTTTTGCAGTATGGTCATAACTGCAGACTATCCTAAATTGATCAGTGCAAATTTTTTACTTCTTCTTTCATTCGCTTGAAATAAATTATCTATATCTGCAATGTTGTCTCTAGTATAAACTTCACTGTCTTTAGCAATTCCCTCAGCGAGCCGTAAAGTTTGACTTGCACAGATGTTTCTCTTGGCCAAAAGTTTTGCTTTGATATGTTGTATATTTAGAATGTAAGCATACTCCATTAATCCTTTCCCCTTCCCCATGACCTTCCCCCTCCTCCCAAACCACCCACCCATGTCAAGATTTATTTTAAACCAAATAATGTTCAGATCTGTAGAGGCAAAAAACAAAGTATGGGGTAAAAGTAAATAAACTTTACATTCAGGTATAATGAGTTAATATAACAACTGTCAATAGAAGAACATAAACAAAAAGTACACCTTATAAAATACTTAATGAACATATAGCGGGTTGCCTGGTAAAGAAAGATTTAATTTTTAACATTTCAAACATCAGCCTCAAAAGAGGGTGCTGCATACTCCAACAGTAGAATGGTCCCTAGACTCCTCTACAGTGCTAGCCAAAGATGGGTGAAGCAGTTTGTGCACTCATCTACAAGCCACAGATGGTTGAGGCAGTTTGTGCACTCATTTACAAGCCAAACATGGTTGAGATGGTTTGTGCACTCATCTACAAACCAGAGATGGGTGAAGTGGTTTGTATACACATCTCTTAACCAAAAACGGGTGATGTGGTTTGTGCAGACATCTTCTAGGAAAAGTTAATGGCGTGGTTCATGGACAAATCCACTAGCAAAATATGGGTGTTCTGGCAATGGAGTGGCATTAGAAAAGACAACTTAAATAGGGGGAAAAATCTGGCCACAATAAATGAGAACTGGCACAGAAAGTCTTGACTTATTTGAGGACCTTTACTAGTGAAGTGAATGTACAAAATATTAGGCAACTCTCTTTTCACATCAACTAAAAACAAAGGTACTAGACACTGTGGAAATGAAAATAACTGAAATAAATACTAAAGGACCCATAAAAGACCTTTGGCACATTCTGAAAAATAAGACATTTAATTAATAGCATCTTCTTTGCATTTGATTTCATATGCTTAGGTCAGATCGTCAGATGGGCTGCCACTGAATTTGCATGTCTGTTGCTGGTTCCTATATGGTTCCTGAAAGTTTGCTATGCACACTTTGCTTTTGAGGCCAGTTTAAAAAAAATAATGTTAATAATTATTTGTTTTCCTTAAGTCTATGCCATGTGGTGTTGGTAGTAATGTCTCTCCCCAACCTTCTGTCTTGTGCACTTTCAATCAACTCTGACACAGATGATTTTCCATGCCATGATGTCAAACTGTCCGGCATCTGTTCTCTTGGTATCCCTCTGCCTTTCCTCCCCTCCAACTTTCCTACCGTAATGATGTACTCCAGTCTTCTCCTTCTCATCACGTTACCAAAGAATGTAGATTATCTCTTTCTGATGTGGGCAATCAGTTCTCTTCGTGAGTCAGTTTCTTTCAAGACGCCATTTATTGTCTGTCCAGAGTATTTCCATCATTCATCTATAAAACCACATCTCTGCAGCTTCCAAACAAGTTTTTACTAATTTACTAACTGTCCATGATTCACATTCATTTATTCAATATAGGATTTATATAACTTTTGAGAATTCTCTTTCTTGTCTCAGTTGACAAAGAAAAATTGCATAAAATATTCTTCATTGGGTAAATAAATATTAAAACAAAATGTTTCAAGACAAAACACCAAATATGCAAAGGAAAATAACAAACTTTCAAGACCAAAGAAATATTCAGCTCCGATAAAGAAATGTTAAATATAAAAATAAAAAACATTCAAGACAAAGAGGAAGTATTCTGTCTCCAAAATTAAAAAAAAATATTAAAATTCAGTATATAACATTTGAAAACTATTTATTTACTTCCTTATCGCAGACACTGCACAATCGGGGGCACTCCTCTCCGCATAAACCAGAGCAAAGATGTTTACAAGGACGTCGTTTTGAGCACTGTACATTACAGGGAGGCCGTTTACAAGGCAGGCAGCAGAGTTCCTCACAAGATTTATGCCTGCATGCCCATGAGCAATTCTCTACACAAGGTGAACATAGTTCACCACACTTTTTTGGACAGCGTGAATGTGTGCAAGCTGTTTCACAAGGTCTCCTGAGGAAAGACATTTTTAAACATTACTCTTAGGTCATTTTTGGCTTAACCTATTCCTACGTAGATTTTGAGATGCAAAGCTCACATGTGTAACATGAGTAGATCCCAAGCTTTAGCATGTCAGTGTTACAGTGACTCGCTCTGATATATTGCCCACAATATCTTAACTCTTTGAGTCCCAGGTGGTTCAGCATCAGAGACCCAAGGGGTAGTTAAGAGAGGTGTAAACTCGGCACATCTTGCGTTCATTGGCCTCTAGGTAGGAATCTATGAACGTACGATGCGTTCTTTGGGACTCAAAGAGTTAATCATTGTACTCCACATAAGCACCTGTCAACAAATGTTTCACAAGGGCATATACTGTCAACACCCCTGTTTATTATTATCATTATTATTATTATATATATATATATATATAATAAAAGACAGCTAGAATAGAAAACCCGCAGCAGGAGGATTTAAATGAGCTGATATTTGCCGATGATTATGCCGTCTTAAAAAAATAAAAGGATAACCTCCAACACCACATAAATAGCCTCACACCTGTGTCAAGAAATATGAAAATTAATACTGGGGAAAAAAAAAGAGAAAAGAAATAATGACTGTAAATAGAACATCAGTCATCACTGTTGAAGGAGAGACATTAAAACAAGCTAAGTAGTTTAAGTACCCATGCAGTGTATTCACAGTGGATGGAGGATTGGACAGAGAAATAGAAAACTTAAAAAGTAGGTAGGTAAGTAAGTTGTACCCCACCAGGACATCACACAAGCGATAAACACCCGGTGACACAAAGTTCCACCAAGCGGATGAGGATTACCTGTGGAGAGGTCCTGGAAAGCCTGTTCAGCCGTTAGGCCACATTTAGGCGCAGCTATATTTAGGGCCCCTGGCAAGACTCAGGGTGGGGCTTCCAAAAATAAATAGCGTCCCATGGGGACGACGCTTTATCTAAAAACTTAAAAACAGAAAGCCAAAAACATAAATTACCAAATAGTGCCCCTTTTGAGGCATCAAAATATCAAAATGCACACACATAAAAAGTCGCTAATAAATGCACTATTCATATCAGCTGTGTGCTATTAATGACAGCTGGAGAGTGTGGTAAAATTACAACATATAATGACATAAGACTGTGGAAATAAAAAGAGAGAGAGTTATCAGCGAGGAACTAAACTATCCTAGGCACAATACCGCTGCATGATTTTATAGAACATCAAAAAATCATGTGATTACAAGAACTATTGGAACCATACCCAGCGTTAAATTTATTGAGAAGCAAAGAATGAAATGGTTTGGTCACCTAATGAAAATGCAACCAACGATGGGATCAAGAATACAACATAAAATCGAAACAACAAGAGAGGGGAGAACCAAGAAGAAGATGGATTGAAGAAGTCGGACAAAGACTATAACATCACGGCATAGAAGCGACAGCGCGCCCTGGCTCGGTTGCCGATCATGCGCGCCTAGCGGCACAAGCAGATTTTGACAAAAGAAGAAGAAGAAAAAATCAAAAAGTTTGGTCATCTGATTTGAATGGAACAAAATCAGTCAGCGGCTAGAGTGTACTACATGCGAAACAGCAGGCAACAATGCAAGAGGTTGACCAAGAAAGAGATGAGTGTAGGAAGTAAAAGAGACACTATAGAAATGCAATATGACAATAACACAAACTACACAACTAGCAAATTTGAAAGTTGCATTAAGAATCAACATTACAGCACTTGGGATACTCCCATTCACGCTCTATCCCCATCTTCAGCAGCAAACAAAGAGTTCCAGTTTTGATAGTACCAGTAACTGTGAGATTGTATATCTGGCTCATCCTTCCCTGAGTACTGAGTGTCAGCCAAATCCCCTCCTAACTCCTCCCTGTGCCATTCTCAACAGACTACAATGATATCTTTGTGTCTTGCCCTGTTCACTCGCTCCCAAAAGGCCCTCGCAACATCTTGTTTGTCATACATCACCAAGTGGTGCAGAACCAACCAGTCTATAGATCTGCTCATTTCCTAACACACTGGCATGACCTGAAGATAATATCCAAAGGATATACGGGACCACTGAAGCGATGTTTGCCACTCTGCATGAAGCATGCCTGTCTCCAGCTTTCTTAACATGCTCTGTGAGTCAGTTACAATTACGACATGTATGTACAGCTCATTCTCAAAAAAGTGGAAGGCAGCAGTGACTGTCTCCACCTCCATTCTCAAACTAGAGGTTGTGAGATCATATGCCAGGTTTTTCTGCACTAGGCAACATCCATTCCTTTTGCTATAAATCCCTGTGCACTTTGTCTGTCTCAAAACACAGAGCCATCTGTACAGATAATCACTTCATCTGGGCAGGAATTGTCATGAACTATTTGTTGAACTTCTGATTCACATGCTAGCCAGTCCCTGCACTCATGACCGAGAGTGATTAGAACCCTACAAAAGTCTGATTCACCAGCTAGCCAGTCCCTGCACTCATGACCAAGAGTGATTAGAACCCTACACAAGTCTGATTCACCAGCTAGCCAGTCCATGCACTCATGACCGAGAGTGATTAGAGCCCTACACAAGTCTGATTCACCAGCTAGCCAGTCCATGCACTCATGACCGAGAGTGATTAGAACCCTACACAAGTCTGATTCACCAGCTAGCCAGTCTATGCACTCATGACTGAGAGTGATTAGAACCCTACACAAGTCTGATTCACCAGCTAGCCAGTCCATGCACTCATGACAGAGAGTGATTAGAGCCCTACACAAGTCTGATTCACCAGCTAGCCAGTCCCTGCACTCATGACCGAGAGTGATTAGAACCCTACACAAGTCTGATTCACCAGCTAGCCAGTCTATGCACTCATGACCGAGAGTGATTAGAACCCTACACAAGTCTGATTCACCAGCTGGCCAGTCCATGCACTCATGACCGAGAGTGATTAGAACCCTACACAAGTCTGATTCACCAGCTAGCCAGTCCCTGCACTCATGACCGAGAGTGATTAGAACCCTACACAAGTCTGATTCACCAGCTAGCCAGTCCCTGCACTCATGACCGAGAGTGATTAGAACCCTACACAAGTCTGATTCACCAGCTAGCCAGTCCCTGCACTCATGACCGAGAGTGATTAGAACCCTACACAAGTCTGATTCACCAGCTAGCCAGTCCCTGCACTCATGACCGAGAGTGATTAGAACCCTACACAAGTCTGATTCACCAGCTAGCCAGTCCATGCACTCATAACCGAGAGTGATTAGAACCCTACACAAGTCTGATTCACCAGCTAGCCAGTCCCTGCACTCATGACCGAGAGTGATTAGAACCCTACACAAGTCTGATTCACCAGCTAGCCAGTCCATGCACTCTCTGACCGAGAGTGGGTTAGAACCCTACACAAGTCTGATTCACCAGCTAGCCAGTCCCTGCACTCATGACCGAGAGTGATTAGAACCCTACACAAGTCTGATTCACCAGCTAGCCAGTCCATGCACTCATAACCGAGAGTGATTAGAGCCCTACACAAGTCTGATTCACCAGCTAGCCAGTCCATGCACTCATGACCGAGAGTGATTAGAACCATACACAAGTCTGATTCACCAGCTAGCCAGTCCATGCACTCATGACCGAGAGTGATTAGAACCCTACAATGAAGTCTGATTCACCAGCTAGCCAGTCCATGCACTCATGACCGAGAGTGATTAGAACCCTACACAAGTCTGATTCACCAGCTAGCCAGTCCCTGCACTCATGACCGAGAGTGATTAGAACCCTACACAAGTCTGATTCACCAGCTAGCCAGTCCCTGCACTCATGATGAGAGTGATTAGTACCCTACACAAGTCTGATTCACCAGCTAGCCAGTCCCTGCACTCATGACCGAGAGTGATTAGAACCCTACACAAGTCTTATTCACCAGCTAGCCAGTTAATGCACTCATGACCGAGAGTGATTAGAACCCTACACAAGTCTGATTCACCAGCTAGCCAGTCCATGCACTCATAACCGAGAGTGATTAGAACCCTACACAAGCATAGATTCACCAGCTAGCCAGTCCCTGCACTCATGACCGAGAATTAGAACCCTACCTCAAGTCTGATTCACCAGCTAGCCAGTCCATGCACTCATAGACCGAGAGTCATTAGAACCCCTACCAGGTCAATTCACCAGCTAGCCCCTTAATCAAGCACTCATGACCGAGAGTGATTAGAACCCTACCCAAGTTGATTCACCAGCAGCAGTCCATGCACTCATAACCGAGAGTGATTAGAGCCTTAATCAAGTCTGATTCACCAATGAAGCATAGTCCATGCACTCATGACCGAGAGTGATTAGAACCATACACAAGTCTGATTCTTGTTCAGACACCTTGAACCACTTCTCTCCACATTGTGGGTTTGTTCTTGTTTTCCCAATAATAAGGCTCCGAATCCGCTTGGTGAACAAGTAGTGGAAGACAAGAAGAAAGATACAAATGTTTACAATTGTTATTTCTTTTTATCTTTATACCTCAGTGAAGCACAGGACCTCAGTGGAGCACAGGACCTCAGTGGAGCATAGAAACTCAATGAAGCATAAATCCTCAATGAAGCATAGACCCTCAATAAAGCATAGACCCTCAATGAGGCATAGACCCTCAATGAGGCATAGACCCTCAATGAAGCATAGACCCTCAATGAAGCATAGACCCTCAATGAAGCATAGACCCTCAATGAAGCATAGACCCTCAATGAAGCATAGACCCTTAATGAAGCATAGACCCTTAATGAAGCATAGACCCTTAATCAAGCATAGACCCTTAATGAAGCATAGACCCTTAATGAAGCATAGACCCTTAATGAAGCATAGACCCTTAATCAAGCACAGGACCTCAATGAAGCATAGACCCTTAATGAAGCATAGACCCTTAATCAAGCACAGGACCTCAATGAAGCATAGACCCTCAATGAAGAAAGACCCCTCAATAAAGCTTAGACCCTCAATGAAGCATAGACCCCTCAATGAAGCATAGACCCCTCAATGAAGCATAGACCCTTAATCAAGCACAGGACCTCAGTGAAGCATAGACCCTTAATCAAGCACAGGACCTCAATGAAGCATAGACCCTCAATGAAGAAAGACCCCTCAATAAAGCACAGACCCTCAATGAAGCATAGACCCCTCAATGAAGCATAGACCCTCAATGAAGCATAGACCCCTCAATGAAGCATAGACCCTCAATGAAGCATAGACCCTCAATGAAGCATAGACCCTCAATGAAGCACAGACCCTCAATGAAGCATAGACCCTCAATGAAGCACAGGACCTCAATGAAGCATAGACCCTCAATGAAGCATAGACCCTCAATGAAGCATAGACCCTCAATGAAGCACGGACCTCAATGAAGCACAGGTCCTCAGTGCTTAACAGGCCCTCAGTACTAGAAGCAAAGCCTAAGGGGGATCTTGTTTTAAAGGGAAGGGGACAGACACTTTAAAGGATAATATAAAAATCTACTCCTTGAATCTATCTCTACTTCAAACATACAAGTGCTCCAACAAACATTGTCATGGTGAGTGTAAGCCGACCCACACTCAAGCTGTCTCAGTAACAAGAATGAAAAAAAAACCCAGAAAAAAAGTTATTTAGCCGGAGGCTAAGACCAACAGTATCTTAACCCAGACATGAAATATTCTGTATGAAGTCGAATCAAAGCTAAATCAATCATTTTCTGGGTCGTCTGTCTTTTCATAGACACTGTAGCTTCCTGAGGTGCCACATTTCTCCCGTAAGTGCAGCTAATCAATTAAATTATAAACGACTTTTGGCGTCCTGCCACAGATCCCCCTACCAAATTTATTGGTATCCCGACAACCACACAATCAGTAAGATCATTGTCTACCAATCCATCTTCAACTCTTGGTCTACCTTCCGTCAAGTTACTGGCCATAGCCAACTGAAGCAAAATAATTCTCCTGACATGATGTAATTACTAATTACTTGCAGCATCATTCATTAACATACACCCAAAACAAAAAATAAATACCATTGACATATGAGCAAAGCATGGCTCGTCCCAAGGAAACCGGATAATGAACATATATGTTCTAAATAGGAGGGATGGGGAGCGGGGTAAGGGGGGGGGGGGGGGTGTGTGCCTACAGTGGACTGATTAGTCACAATAATGTTAAAACATTTTATTGCATAACTGGCTAGGTTGGTGTATTTTATACAAGGCTCCCTAATATGGACAGACCAGAAATTAAAGCTGATACGGAGACAGAATAACAAATAAACTGACCTCAAGTTAAGGTCCCTATGTAAACAAACCACTCAGTGAATAATGCACACACCACTCCGTGAACAATAGACACAAACCACTCCTAGTGAATGATGTGCACAAACCACTCCTATGTGAATGATACGGACAAGCTACTCTGTCAACAACAGGCACTGACAACTGCTTAGTAAAAACTGTTGCGGTACAACTGGGTGGAAGCTTCTGTCCCCGGGCAACCAGCACGGTCAAAATGTGGAAAGCCAATTTAATCGTTTTCCTCATGGTCTGTTTTTTTTATAGATGCTGTGGCTTCCTGGGATGCCAGATTTTACCCACAAGTAAAGTTAAACAATTAAATAATAAAATGGCTTTTGGTGTCTTGCCACATCTGCAAAAACTATTCCTATCCTTTACTGTCACATGCAGCTCAATTTTTGTCCTCCCTATCTTTCTTTTTTTTTTCCTGCCTCTTAAATTTTTTTTGCTAGGTCTCCAAGTGTTTAAATAGGTCTGCACTTGTATTATCTCTTGCACATCTTCTTGGTCCTGCTTCTAATCACATTCAACTCTTTTGTGTACACAGTATTTGGTTTCTTTCTATTTGCCATCATCGTTATAGAAGCGGTTCCAACTGGTACTAGGCAGAGCCCTAAAGCTTTCGCCTGCACTTCCAAAAGACTCTGCAACTGCTTTAGGAAAATTTAAAAAAAACTGAATGAAATTAAAGATTAGGGGGAACAATTAGATTCTGTGTAAGATAACAGGATACAGCAGTTCTAAGATATCCAACCCCCCAACAAAAAAATGATTTTGAAAAGGGGCCCAGCATGTCAAAATAGTTGGTGCTGAGAGATGCCATTTCAAGTGGACATTGATACTTTGAATGTCGTACCGCCGCTGTTTAACCCTTTGATTTTTCCCTCATTGGCTACATCAAGAATGACACCATTTTATTCATAGATGACATAGAGGGATTTCCCTTTCTATATACGGTGCTGTTTGGGAAATGTCCAGTTTGTCTAGTTTGCAATTTCCCAGCGTGTCAGAGCTCATGGCTTTCACATATAGAATTGCTACTAGTACCCACCAATTATGTGGCAAAAACCTGGCTACAAATTGAAATCACGCTGGGCACACGGTATTGCAGAAACTCACTTCCGGTCACTAGAGGAAAAGGAAAGGAGTTCAGTTTTGGAGGACAACTTTGACTCTATCTCTCAGGCAGCCTACAAGCCTGGGAGTATGACCAAACACACCGTAGAGTTTTACATCTACATCAACACTGCTGAAAAGCCAAGGACAGATTCCTTGTTCATTACGGCAGGACTCCCAGAACTCTACCAGGCTGGTCTTAGGTGATGACTGAGGTGCCTCAAGGAAGGTCTTAGGTGATGACTGAGGTGCCTCAAGGAAGGTCTTAGGTGATGACTGAGGTGTCTCAAGGAAGGTCTTAGGTGATGACTGAGGTGCCTCAAGGAAGGTCTTAGGTGATGACTGAGGTGTCTCAAGGAAGGTCTTAGGTGATGACTGAGGTGTCTCAAGGAAGGTCTTAGGTGATGACTGAGGTGCCTCAAGGAAGGTCTTAGGTGATGACTGAGGTGCCTCAAGGAAGGTCTTAGGTGATGACTGAGGTGTCTCAAGGAAGGTCTTAGGTGATGACTGAGGTGCCTCAAGGAAGGTCTTAGTGACTGGGCCAGATCCAGCGTTCAACATCTATTTCGGATGAAGATCCTCTCAGAATTCCCAGGTGGTAATTGTGTCCCATAAAATTCTCATTAACTCTCTCATGAAGATAGTTTCATGTTAACATCATTTTTAACATCATAATCTAATTAGTTAAATCAGTGTAGAGAAAACAAAATAGATGATATAATTTCTTGAATAAATCTATGTGTATTGTCAACCATAGATTATCTGTATTTTTAGATATGTATATGGTGTCAGTTCAGTGCTTTTCTAGACTGGGGGCCCAGTTTAATGACCAGAAAAGGAAAGCCTAGAGAGAATGAGGCACCTGGGTGTAACCAGAGGGTCTGGCAGGCTCACTACACTCAGAGGAAAGCAAAGACTGACATATAACCAGATTGTGACAAGTACCATCAGTATTGGAACTCTGCGCTGGCTGCTGAAGATGACGACGGAGCATGCATGGGAATGCCCCAAGTGCTGTGGTGTCAATTCTTGACTCAACTCAACTCAACCAGAAAGGGAAACTGTCATGAGGGCTAATCTGCTCTGTCCAGGTATTCATTTAGTAAGTGCTCTCTAGACATCTAAATTCCCCTTTCCCATTTCTGAGAATATTCAGGTGGCTCACTTTCTTTCACGAGCCAATTCAAGTCTGTAGCCGAGTATCCAGGGACACTGTCTACTCTTAGCATCAAAAGACAGCTATCTCGGTTTCTCACTTGCGTCAGGAGGGAGAATGTAAACCCAAAACCACCACTATAGTGAGTAGGAGAAAGAAAATTCACATGTTCCACAACAGTTTGGAAACACTGCTCTATAGGCACCACTAATACAATTCACTAAATATATTTTTTTTTTAAATAAACCATTTGTAGTTGTAAATCTTAAGTTATGCTTTATTTTACTTACGTGCAAGGGGGACAACTGCTGCAAGTGTCCTGGCATTCATGACCACATATAAGTATCTTCTGACATTTCATCTGACAGGTCTCATGCAAGCGTTGATTGCTGCACTGCCCGCAGGTACCGGCACAGAGATGGCCACAGGCTAGCTCAACCTTACAAGGTTTAGGGCATTTACCTCTGTCCTGGCTCCTGGACTGCCCACACACAACATAGAAACTTCCATGACCACACTGGTCTGGTGTGTACTGTAATAAGAAGTGTGTTGTTTTATTGACTGACAGGTAATACTCAGTGAATATCAAACCATTCAGTCCATCAAGTGCTTATCCTTACCTCACTATATTCCAGTGTATAGCGGCTGATGACACCCACATTGTGTTAGTTTCTTCTTCTTCCTCTTTTGACTCCTTGAATAGAGCTCTTGCCTAGCCTCAGCCTTTTGACTTGCTGTTTGCAGTCTTGTTGACTGTACAGATCCACAGGACATACATACAATAGGGGAGAGAGAGAGAGAGAGAGAGAGAGAGAGAGAGAGAGAGAGAGTGTGTGGAGGCAGGGGGATGGGGCATGGCAGCACACTGGCTAGCAGCTCACCTGATGACCTGGTTTGAATCTGCACAGGCAGTGGATCTGAAGGGGGAAAACAATGACCTGAAAGGTTTGAATCTGCACAGGCAGTGGATCTGAAGGGGGAAAACAATGACCTGAAAGGTTTGAATCTGCACAGGCAGTGGATCTGAAGGGGGAAAACAATGACCTGACAGGTTTGAATCTGCACAGGCAGTGGATTGAAGGGGGGAAACTGACCTGACAGGTTTGAATCTGCACAGACAGTGGATCTGAAGGGGGAAAACAATGACCTGACAGGTTTGAATCTGCACAGGCAGTGGATCTGAAGGGGGAAAACAATGACCTGGTTTCCAGGTCGACCTAGCTTAAAATGGACACCAGGTAATGTCCTCGGAAGTAAGGATGGCTGGCTTGATGTTAACCAGATCACCCACGGATACAATTATGGCTCAAGATGAACAATGCAAATATATAGGAATGCATACTTTTCTCTTACCCTAACCTGTATTTGACAATCAACATCATCATTATCATCATTTGTGTGCATTTAGACATCATTTAGGGCTCGTATTCGATTCCTCCACTCCGCTCTATTGCATGCAGCTCTCTCGATCTCCTGCAAGGAGTTCAGCCAAGCATTTTTAGCCTCTTGTAATAATGTACTTCTTAACATTTCCCTTGGATGTCCTCTTTTTATCACACCATTTGTTTCCCATATCTGCACGCTTTTTGTAACTCTTTGCTCACTTCATCTTAAAGTGTGCCAAATTTATCTCCACCTTCTTTGTCTTACTGCAGTTGAAACAAGTATTTGTCCAGACATTTCTCTGATCCCCTCACTCTTTTTGAAATCATCCCATTTTAATTTAACAAATCAACAATATAATAAAACTAGTCTATACAACTGTTGAATTACATACCTTTATTTTAACTTTGCACACATTCTGCGTGTGAGCATGTTTGCTCCCGCATCGGTCAGTACACTGATGACCACAAGGCAGAACTTCCTGGCACTTCTCTTGGCATTCAACAGCATTGGGTTCAACACCACATGCTACCTTCTGCACGTGATGACAGACTGGGATTATCTTTTCCACCAGATTTCGGCAAACCTCATGTTCATCACAGCGATGGTCCTCGCTGCAGTACTGCTTGCATTTCTCACAAAAGTGTCGACATTTTTCATTGCACTGTGAATTTTTATGATTAATGTCGTCTGCATGACAGACTCGTTTACAACTATGCCCACATTTGAGTCTCATTTTACATGGCTGCGCACAGCCCCCTTCTGAAACTTTGCTGAAGTCTTTGGGTTGTCTTATAACTGTCTGCTTATCCTTATGCCTCAAGCAGGATAAAGTAATGTGCTCTTTTAAGTATCCCAGCCTCTTGGCGTTATTCGTGATATCCTGCATGAGAGCACTGCTCTGTGACAAGCCAGCAAAGTTACCAACCACATAAAGACCAATTTTCGCTCGAGACAGAGCAACGCAGATTCTATTGTTGGCTTTCAGAAATCCAATCTCATTATCCTCATTACTTCTTACCAACGACAGAAGAATAATATCATTTTCATTGCCCTGGTAGTTGTCAACTGATGAGATTTTCACCCCTTTCAATTTGTCAGCAGTTTTGTGTGACCTGGCTAATGTCTGCATTTGATTCTTGATGAAATGGATCTGCCCAGCATAAGGGGAAAGAATTGTAATCTGTTCTGCTTTGAACTGCCCTTGAAGAAGAATATACTCGCACAATCCAATGACAAACTCTGCTTCAAATTTATTAGTGAATGTGCTTGTATCTTGTTCCTGGCTGTCGTGTTCGCCATGTTGAATGAAGCAAACATTGCCATTTACTCTTAAAACATCGGGGTATCTTTTCACATCATCATGGTCCTTCAAGTCTGGGTACAGCTCAGGCAGAACCAGAAGTGTGGATATTTCTGGTCTCATCCTGTGCTGATATTGCAAAGAATTATAAGGAAATTCATTATCCACAAGTCTTTCAAAAAGTGAAATGTCAAGATCACACTGAGTCTTTAGTTTATAGGACAGAAGGATTGGGCCTCAACTGTTTGTGGTCCCCAATCAGAACCACATGCTGGCACTGGTCTGTCAGACAAGTTATCACATGGCCTTCAAACACTTCTGCAGCTTCTTCTACCAATACAATTCTTGGCCCAATTTCCCTGAGAATTCCTTGGTAACGTGCAGCACCTGTTGTAGTCATTCCTATAATGGTTGCTCTTTCGAGTATTGTCTTATCCTCCTGGAGTAAGATTTCCTGATACCGCCTGGCCGCTTGCTCATACTGCTCTGTTTTGACTCTAATTTCTCCTCTGATCTGCCTGCAATACAAATCAATCCAATATCGATACAATCTCCATCTCTCATTCAATTTCAATTTCGAGACATCGTAAACTTGACTCACTTCATCTTCAGTCATTCTGTCCACCTTCTGAAGATGTCCAAGGAGAATTGCTCTTTTTTTTTTTTTTTTGAGAACAATATGATTCCACTGTTTCTTTTCATCTTTAGTCAGACCTATTGGTGGTGGTTCTTCTCCATATGAACTAATACTGAAAGCTACATTTCGGAGCCGAATTCTCTCAGCTTCTATGTCAGCCTCATCAAGTTTTTTATTTACATGCCTCACATTTTCAATGAAGCCTTCGCCAAGACTTTCAGACAGCTCTGAAAACAAGTCATTATCATCATCCCCTGCTCCATCATCATCATCATCTATGTCCAAATGTCGTGTCTGAGGGAGGTCAACATTTAACATGTCAAAAAGATCCCCTTCCTCATCCTCATCTTCTCCAGAATCATTTCCTTGTTCATTTGCCTCTCCTGCAGCTTCATCAGCGCCTACTTCAGGTCTGAATGCATTTCTTGCTTGGCCTTGATTCTCCAGCTTTTGTTGTTGCTGCTTCTTCACATCATCAAGCTTAGTGACATCAGAACTAATTCGAAGCCATGTGGTAATTACACTTTCATTATTTCCAGAAAGACCTCTTAATGTCTTGTAATGACTCTCTTCTATCATAGGTTTCAAGAATGTCTCTTTCACTATTTCCCTCTCTAATATTTCCAGTTTTGCAGCTTCTGTATGGATTTCAGCTTTCATGTCTTTCATTTTCAACCTTGTCTCTTGCTTAGCAAGATGAACTTCTATGGGAACTGTTCTATTTTCCCTAGCTCTGTTTCTCATGCCCCTCAAGTTGAATTCTTCAAGTCTTTCACTTTTGCTTCTCGAACCAACCCGTACCAAGGACCCTTGATAAAAGTTTAAAATGCCTTCAAGAAATTGATCCAATGCATGATTTGTGTAACAGACAAGAAGTATGGGAGACCGTTCTCCATCACCAAGCCAGATATGTTTGTTATGCAGCAAAGCTTTCATAACCAAAAGGCCAATAAATGTTTTGCCAGTACCTGGAGGCCCTTGAATGATTGAGAACTCTTTTGTCAGTGCTGACTGCAGAGCTAAAAACTGTGAATTATCCAGTGAAAACTTGTTAGGGTGTGGCCAGGAGTTAGGGTCAAGAACATCTACTGCTCTAGCAGCTTTTGAGGCATCGCTGAATTGTGGTTCATCATCCTGATTATCTTTGATTGCAAAATCACTGTCAACCAAAGGTCGAAGATCAAATGTAGAATTTCCATTATGAAGATACTCCGGAGAGTCAATCTGTGGATTACATTGCCCAATGTATCTCCAGAAAGGAAAGTTATTTTCTGTGAAGTTCTGCAAGCCCAGTAAAACATACTTGTATGCCTCAAAATATGTTGGTGACTCTACCATGACATAACGAAGGTCCCTGGCTTCGCTGATCAGTCTCATGAACTCCTCATGCCTACCCACCTGAACATTTTGCCCATGTTCATTCAAAACAAACTGCACATCAACAAGTCCCTTTGCAAGATCTTTAGAATCTCGGTTTTCCACGACTGCACATTGGTAAGTATTAAAATTGTCTGTAGAGAGACAGAGGAGAGATCCATACTTCAGTCTCTGTGATACTGCCCAATTGATTTTCCTCAGATTTGACACATCAAAAGACAGCCTAAAACACAGGCCTTTGTCATGACATATTGGCCGAACTATCCTCACCTGAAAAAGACAAAGATTCTATATAAGCTACTGTTGTGTGCTGAAAGCGACTTTTGTGTCTACGGAGTTGGTGAAACTAATGGTTAGCCAAGGATTAATGAATCATGAGGACATATTGACCTAACTATCCTGACCTGAAAAAGACAAAGATTCTATATTAGCTATTGTTGTGTGCTGAAAGCCACTTTTGTGTCTAGGGTGTTAATGAAACTAATGGTTAGCCAAGGATTAATGAATCGCGAGTGTATATTGTTATACATTTATGATATGTTGACAGGGTAAGAGTAGAGGCATGAGCTACTTTGTTATGAAAACAATGTGTGACTTGGAAATTAATGGATGGGCTGTGAACCCCAGGTTTTGACAAGAGAGGGAGATCCAAGCTGAACTGACAGCTGTAAGAAAAAACCTGTGGTAGACTGAGTCAGTAACCCTCAGTACGTGAGATAGGATGTTCATGTTGTTCTGTTATGCGACAGTTAGCAATGTGTTTCATTCCCTGAGGACCAACCTTCATAAATAATCCCCTAGACATTTGGCAATTATGTGATAGCATCCCTATCAATAGGCATTGCTGAGGAATTAATTCCAGCATAACTTAAAACAAACATATCAGCGTTCTTCTTCTTCTCTTTCTTTAGCTACTTCATCTCTTCCTTCAATTACTTTATCAAACAAAATTTGAAATGACCCTTGACCCATTAGAGTCATCAAGGTGTACTGATGGAAGCACTAGCATACGAAACCTGCCATCTTTCTCCTTCTTCCGCTTGCTAAACAAGTGAATAATAACTTAGTCCTGCCCATTTTTTGATGTTGTCATTCCAGTTCTTCTTTGCTCTCCTCTTCATCAGAGAAAGGAGACAGATGCAGTTTTCTGGATAATATGAATAATATTCACCTTGTGAATTCTTTAAACAAACAACAAAAAATCCCTCATCAACAAAGCCCATATCAGAACATGTTGCTGGATCTCCAGTTGCTGCTGACTGTCTGATCATAACACCACTGCTAGAATACAAATCAACAACCAATTAAGGCAGATAAACAGTTGGGATCACAACATCACTGCTAGAGTACAAATCAACAACCAATAATGGCAGATAAACAGTTGGGATCACAACACCACTGCTAGAGTACAAATCAACAACCAATAATGGCAGATAAACAGTTGGGATCACAACACCACTGCTAGAGTACAAATCAACAACCAATAATGGCAGATAAACAGTTGGGATCATAACACCACTGCTAGAGTACAAATCAACAACCAATTAAGGCAGATAAACAGTTGGGATCACAACACCACTGCTAGAGTACAAATCAACAACCACTTATGGCAGATAAACAGTTGGGATCGTAACACCACTGCTAGAGTACAAATCAACAACCAATAATGGCAGATAAACAGCTGGGATCATAACACCATTGCTAGAATACAAATCAACAACCAATAATGGCAGATAAACAGCTGGGATCATAACACCATTGCTAGAATACAAATCAACAACCACTTATGGCAGATAAACAGCTGGGATCATAACACCACTGCTAGAGTACAAATCAACAACCAATAATGGCAGATAAACAGATGGGATCACAACACCACTGCTAGAGTACAAATCAACAACCAATAATGGCAGATAAACAGTTGGGATCACAAAACCACTGCTAGAGTACAAATCAACAACCAATAATGGCAGATAAACAGTTGGAATCACAACACCACTGCTAGAGTACAAATCAACAACCAATAATGGCAGATAAACAGTTGGGATCACAAAACCACTGCTAGAGTACAAATCAACAACCAATAATGGCAGATAAACAGTTGGGATCACAAAACCACTGCTAGAGTACAAATCAACAACCAATAATGGCAGATAAACAGTTGGGATCACAACACCACTGCTAGAGTACAAATCAACAACCAATAATGGCAGATAAACAGCTGGGATTATAACACCACTGCTAGAGTACAAATCAACAACCAATTAAGGCAGATAAACAGTTGGGATCACAACACCACTGCTAGAGTACAAATCAACAACCAATAATGGCAGATAAACAGTTGGGATTATAACACCACTGCTAGAGTACAAATCAACAACCAATTAAGGCAGATAAACAGTTGGGATCACAACACCACTGCTAGAGTACAAATCAACAACCAATAATGGCAGATAAACAGTTGGGATTATAACACCACTGCTAGAGTACAAATCAACAACCAATAATGGCAGATAAACAGCTGGGATCATAACACCACTGCTAGAGTACAAATCAACAACCAATAATGGCAGATAAACAGTTGGGATCATAACACCACTGCTAGAGTACAAATCAACAACCAATAATAATAGAAAAACAGTTGGGATTATAACACCACTGCTAGAGTACAAATCAACAACCAATAATGGCAGATTAACAGTTGGAATTAAAACACCACTGCTAGAATACAAATCAACAACCACTTATGGCAGATAAACAGTTGGGATCGTAACACCACTGCTAGAGTACAAATCAACAACCAATAATGGCAGATAAACAGCTGGGATCATAACACCACTGCTAGAGTACAAATCAACATCCATTATGGCAGATAAATATAAGTGTTTTTATCTGTCCAGGGTATTTTCATCATCTGTCTGTAAAACCACATCTCCGCAGCTTCCAAACAATTTTCCACTAAGCTACCAACTGTCCATGATTCACTTCCCTATATCAAGATAGGATTTATTTAGATTTTAAGAATTCTCTTTCTTATCTGAATCGACAAAGGAAGATTGCATAAAATATTCTTCATTTTGTAAAATACTGCCTTTGCTTGAGCTATTCTACATTTAACTTCTTTAATACATCTTCCATATTTTAATTTGAACCAGACACAAATATTGTAGCTCTAAAGTACACATATCATAAATTATGAAATGTTCAATTGACAAGTGCCTGTGGCTGAAAGAGTTAACTTCTTTGTATACATGCTTCACTTCACTTCACTTCAAAGGTCCCGGGTAGTTAGCATTTTTTGATAGGATATTTTCTTCAGGTGATGCCGGTGTGTTGGAAAATGAGCAGGCAGATAGACTGGCCAGTTCTGCACCACTTGGTGGTGAACTGATATATGACAAGCTAGATGTTGTGAGGGCCCTTTGGGAGCGAGTGAACAGTGCTGAGGCACAGATAGATCATTACGGTCTGAGAAGAATGGCACTGCGAGGAGTTACAAGAGGATCTGGCCAACGCTCGACACCCAGGGGAAAGGCGAGATGGATATACAATCAGACAGTTACTGGTACCATTGGAATGTAACCTCTTCGCTTACTGCTAAAGATGGGGATGGAGTGCTTATGGAGGTGTCCCAACTGCTGTGATGTCGATTCTTAATTCAACATTCAACATAAACATGCTTCTATGTGCTTACCAAATATAAGACTAAATAATTTTTTTTTCTCTGAGACAACCTGTCATATGTTTCTTGATTACCTTTTAAACTGTTATAGTTTTCTTAACTTTTTGTTTTCCATTATTCTCTTATGTGAATATATTCTACCTCAGCTATAACCTGAAATCATTCTGTCCCAATAAAAGATAACCTGAAATCATTCTGCCACAACACTGTATAACCTGAAATCATTCTGTCCCAATACTGGATAACCTGAAATCATTCTGTCCCAATACTGTATAACCTGAAATCATTCTGTCACAATACTGGATAACCTGAAATTATTCTGTCCCAATACTGGATAACCTGAAATCATTCTGTCCCAATACTGGATAACCTGAAATCATTCTGCCCCAATACTGGATAACCTGAAATCATTCTGCCCCAATACTGGATAACCTGAAATCATTCTGCCCCAATACTGGATAACCTGAAATCATTCTGTCGCAATACTGTTTGTATTATTTTAGCTGAGACTCAAAGAAAGCTGCTACAAATTAGCACACAGAAAAACATTTTGAAGTACAAAGAATGTTAATGTAACAAATACACTGGAGTAGAACTAAAACACATGAACAACAAACTCCATGGACAGAAAAGAATAACAAACAATTTAACTAAAAAACCTACTGAAATAGTTAATATAGTAAATTCTTACATGAGAGTAGACTTGCATTCCCCGAAGGTTTCTTTGATCTCCTCCATGAAGATATTTCATGATGTTTTCACGCAGTGGAAGAATCAAATCAGCTCGTAGCAAGCGGAACTTAATTATAAAGATGCAAAATTAACAGCTCTTTAATTAATTGTATTATCATCATGAAATCAAATGAAAATAGAAATGGCTAAACTATTTACAGGGCAATAAACAACCCACTGAAAATAGTACTGTCAAATGTTATATATACTCAGCCATATTATATAGTTCAGAATCTGGACAATGAATAAGTGGTTCAAAAGTCTAACTGAGCACTTGGATATGTGGAAGAATAAAAGACTAAGTCATATACTAATAAAACATTGTTTAAAGACACAATGGAAATATTTCAGCAACATTAACAGCCATAGGACTATATTTCAGCAACATTAACAGCCATAGAACTGTATTTCAGAAACATTAAAAGCCATAGAACTATATTTCAGCAACATTAACAGTCATGGAACTATATTTAAGCAACATTAACAGCCATAGGACTATATTTCAGCAACATTAACAGCCATATAACTATATTTCAGCAACATTAACAGCCATAGAACTATATTTCAGCAACATTAACAGTCATGGAACTATATTTCAGCAACATTAACAGCCATAGAACTATATTTCAGCAACATTAACAGCCATAGATCTATATTTCAGCAAAATTAAAAGCCATAGAACTATATTTCAGCAACTTTACCAGCCATAGGACTCTTATTAACTTTTTCACAAAGAGAAGCCAAAAACAAAACCAACACACCCAGTTGGGCCCCCCCAATGTCATTTTTCCAACTATGACCTGTTTACGAGATGTATAGTTAATGCATTTGGCTGCGTCTGCACCTATGCAAACATTGAGGAGGTCGGGATATTAATAAATCAACTAACAACAGCATTTAGAGTGGTTTTACTTTGAGCTAAATGGCTTTTTTAAAGCCAAAAGGAGGTCAGATTTTTTCACAAGCCTCTGTGGTAAAGGTCAGGGTCACGGCATGAGCCACCCAAAATATGTATGTTTTTTAGGTTCTGTGGGATGTATTCAATTTAATGCTTCGCTCCATACATGTTTATTGATTACTCCTTTCATATATCTTTACATATTTCGAGAAAAAAAATCATAAAAATAACTATAAAATGTCGATAAATACATTTTAACAAACTTATCAGCAACCAGTGTAAATATTGTTGTTGCTTTTATATTTTTTAGGAATGCTAACAGGGTCAGGACCTTATTGTTCTTTTTGAGTTCTTAGGGGGAAAGGGTTGAAACCATAATGGAGGGTACAGGTGAAGGTAGGCAGGTAAGAGTTAGGTAACAAAATAAGAGGACAACATCAAGAGATGGACATACAAAAGTCTATGAGAGAGTCTAAGAGAGAGAGCAAACAAACGAAGGATGTTGGGGATCTACTGCGGTCAGCCTTCATCATGAAGATGAAGACCTGATTGTCAAATTGATTAGTCTTGCACAGCCTACAGGTTTATGGACTTGAAAATTAGCTGTGCAATAGATCTGGTAGAGAAGACACTTTGATTCTGGGTCAAAACTCAATCTTGAAAAGAGTGGATCCACAATCACCTAACAGTGCAGAATCAGTTAAAGTCAAGAGACAGAATAAACTTGCAAACTTAGTGACTACTAGCAAACCTTACAGAAAAAGAGCAAAGGGAAGATGGACAGAAAAAAAAAATATCGCTAGGATGACTTGGTAAAATGATGACTTGGTAATACTGGATAGACAGGATAGGATAAGATCACAGGCTTGATCCACAATATGATAATTATGTGACATGATGAACTATGACGGCCTACATTTATCAGCATGGCACATAATGATGACGATTGAAGGAAGAAGAATTTTTTTTTTTTAAATCTTCTTCTTCTTCTTATTTTGACCTCTTATTGATATCAGGTTGTAGCCCAATGTTGTGGTTTTCTGTATTTGTCTTTGAATACTTGGGTGGCTTGGATGATGGGTTTGTGAATCTTTTTTCCTTTTTTTTTTTCAGGTTTCAGCTGCACAATTTATCCATCTCTTTCTTGGTCTTTCCTCGCCTTCCTCCCAGATGTTCTGCTGTAACAAATCCCATCAGCAGTTTGGTCTGCTGCATTCTCATTAGAGAATTCTCACCAATTCATTTTTTGTCAGTCAATATAATTCAGACATGGATTTATTGCAACTCTCTCTCTAATGCTGGTACTAGTAACCCTATTCATTCTTGTGCTGTTAGAAACCTTACGGAAATAGCACATTTCAAAGGCAGTTAATTTATGTTCTAGTGTCCTATTCATTGTCCATATCTGGCACTGATAGCATAAAGTAGGCATGAAGATGCTATTAATCATTTGCTATTTTGCAATAACTATGTATCATGTTTTTTAACTCTTTGAGTCCCAAGGAACGCATCATATGTTCATAGATTCCTACATAGAAACCCAATGAACGCAAGATGCAAGAGTTAATATCATGATTAAATCTAACTCCACAATGAAAGCCACCTGTAAAAAGCCTCAGCAATTTTTACCAGATTTCTTCAAAATGTTGAAATAAATTATGCTGAGATGAGAAATGACATCACAGCACTCTAGACATTCCCATAAGCACTCCATCCTCATCTTCAGCAGCAAGCAATGAGTTCCAAGAAGGATTTCCTCAAAAGGAACTCAGATATTCTATCTTAAATCTTAATATAATCCTCAAGTGCCTTGCCAGCTGGCTTAGGCATTCATGCATCTCCGCAGATCTCGGTCTTTGGTGTTCTGGTTCAATTCTACTGATGATATTCCTCCATGCCACTGTCTCAAGCCATCCACCATCATTTCTCTTGGTCTGCCTTAACATACATAAATAAAATCAACACATAATATTTTTAAAATATCTAGTAATAATCTTAGACAATCTCTGCCATACCTGAATGTCAAGATAATCATTTATGTTCTCATAGACACCCTTGACCTTGTTTGCCCTGTAAACAATATCTTCGCCAGGATCAAAGTCTGCTGCAGTGGGGATAATGCTGAGTTCACGGAAAAGGTTCGGATCCACAGCATGGTCGTCATCAATATAAACCCTTTCAGCCTTCGCTTCATTGTCATTTTGTCGCCTTTTTTGCCCCACAAGCAATCGTCTAATAACATTCTTGTCATCATTCAATTCTTGATCGTCTTGGAAACTTGAATCTATAATCTCAGTCAGAAGCACAAAGACATGTGATAAGAATTTTGGTGCTGTGTTTTGAAACTTTTCTACCGTACATTTCAGCAGTTTTACGACTGCCTTTATATATGTTCCTTCTCCACGCAGAGGTGAATGAAAACTGTTAACAATTTGTTCGTGAAAATCTTCTGCATCCAGAAAAGTCTGCAGCACTTCAATAACTGCTTGTGTTTGGGCTTGAGTATTGAGTGGGTTATCTACAGCCTTGGCTAAAACTTTTGCTATTAAGGACAACTTTTCTGCCCGTAGAGGCATTTCTTTTAGGAGTCTTTCCAAGCTTCCATCTTGTCGTGCAATTCGCATAAGTACCGATGAGGCATCTGTATCATCACTGAGTAAGCTTTTCAGTTCCTTTTCTGTCAGGGGTGTTGTTCTTTTTCTGCTGTAAAATATTATTGAAAATATGTGAGAATCATAATAGGTCATACTGTGCATCAAATCCAGCTAAATACACAACTGTTGTGTGTGTAAGTGAGGTGAGGATAGTAAGCACCTCCTTCTACTTCCATATTTTTAAAGATCTTCTTCTTCTTCAAGTTCACCAACAGTAAACTACAGTGGAAAGTTCTGGTTGTTCAGAACTTGGAATTTTGCGTGCACATTCGTTTCACAGATTTGGCTTATTTGTAAGCAGACTGTTGGTTCCTTGTTTCTCAGGCAGATGTACTCCAATTTCAAAGGAAACACCTCTGATTAGTCAACTTTTATGATATGCTTTTTGGGGGGTGAGGTTCCAGTGGGTCTACTCTTTTCCCCATGAAAACATGGCCCAAGAATTTACATGAGGATTTTATAAATCAATTGGCACTTGAAGTGTAATGTGGTTAACATCATTCTGGCCATCTTTATTTCTCAGAGTACCCATTTTAGGCTTGGTCAGCTTGTACGATAAGGGTAATTGTTAAAAAATCTACACTATAACCACTGGAACAATTGACAAAGATGGTAGCCACTGTCTTAGCATTTTTCCAGTTAATCACTTTGTCTAGATCAGTGGTTCTCAAGCATGTCTGAATCAGTGCTTCTAAAGCATGTCTGAATCAGTGCTTCTAAAGCATGTCTAAATCAGTGGTCCCCAAGCATGTCTAAATCAGTGCTTCTAAAGCATGTCTAAATCAGTGGTTCTCAAGCATGTCTAAATCAGTGGTCCCCAAGCATGTCTAAATCAGTGGTCCTCAAGCATGTCTAAATCAGTGGTTCTAAAGCTTGTCTAAATCAGTGGTCCCCAAGCATGTCTTAATCAATGGTTCCCAAGCATGTCTAAATCAGTGGTTCTCAAGCTTGTCTAAATCAGTGCTTCTCAAGCATGTCTAAATCAGTGGTTCTCAAGCATGACTAAATCAGTGGTTCTCAAGCTTGTCTATTTCAGTGGTTCTCAAGCACGTCTAAATCAGTGGTTCTCAAGCTTGTCTAAATCAGTGGTCCCCAAGCATGTCTAAATCAGTGGTCCCCAAGAATGTCTAAATCAGTGGTTCTCAAGCACGTCTAAATCAGTGGTTCTCAAGCTTGTCTAAATCAGTGGTCCCCAAGCATGTCTAAATCAGTGGTTCTCAAGCACGTCTAAATCAGTGGTTCTCAAGCATGACTAAATCAGTGGTTCTCAAGCATGTCTAAATCAGTGGTTGTCAAGCATGACTAAATCAGTGGTTCTCAAGCTTGTCTACATCAGTGGTTCTCAAGCATGTCTAAATCAGTGGTTCTCAAGCTTGTCTAAATCAGTGGTTCTCAAGCACGTCTAAATCAGTGGTTCTCAAGCATGTCTAAATTAATGGTTCTCAAGCTTGTCTAAATCAGTGGTTCTCAAGCTTGTCTAAATCAGTGGTTCTCAAGCATGTCTAAATCAGTGGTCCCCAAGCATGTCTAAATCAGTGGTTCTCAAGCATGTCTAATGCAGTGGTCCCCAAGTATGTCTAAATCAGTGGTTCCTAAGCAGCTAAGACATCCAAAACCCTCTTATTTTCAAAGGTCTACCATGAACCCATTAGATTTTTGTGATCGTGCTGAACTTATTATAATTTATAAATACAGTGGAACCTCAGGATATGAATTTAATCAGTTCCATATTGTGAAAAACTCACATCATGAAACTGATTTTTTTTCTATTGAAATTAATGTAAATAATTTAATGTTAATTTGCTCCACCCTCCAAAAATCACTCTATTAGTTTCCAAATGACGTTTTGGGTTTCTTTAATGGGGTAAATGTGTCGCTTTATTTTTTATTTCATTTTGCCTTTATTAGAAAACCGGGTTGCTTTAGACTATGATGCTGTGGTCTATCATCATCAAGTGACTTGTCAAATGGTTTAAGTCCTCCTTCAGTGATATTAACATGACATAATCCATTTAAAAGTTATTGAGATGCTGTCGGGTAATGCAGAGAGTTCTCGTCTCTCCAGTGCACATCCTGGATTTCACTCATATTCTAGGGTAAAACAAACTGGTGAGACTGAACTTGTATCCTGACAAGAATTTGTACCCAGGTACATTCACGTCCTGAGATTCCACTCTATAAGTATCACTTTAAGGATTACATTCTAAAGTTGAAGATTTTGTTCTTTGTGTAAATAATAAGATGGACCTCTTAAATGTGTTATGTAGACCACTTAATGATAAAGACTGGTCTAAAAAATTGTGTGTTGATTTTAAAATTTACATTCACAATACAGTTTACCTAACTTTAACATATTTTGTTACATTATCTTTACATTAATTAAAACATGAAACAGAAATTAAAAACTATTAAATGGTCTATCTTAAAATACTTACTTTGGTTTTGGATTCCCCCGTCTGTTTGGCACAAATGCATCATCTTCTTCATCCATGTTGAAAACTTTGTGAGATTTTTATTTGTCTGCAGACAGTTCAGTTTAGGTTATCTCTATGGCTAAGTCACTTATATAATCATTCATTGTAAATTTATTTTATTTTCCGGCTATCCTGGAATGTAGCTTAATCAAAAGATGAGGTTAACAAATATAGTGCACTATTACAGTAGCTTCGGGAAAAAAATGCCTTACAACAGGTACCGGTACTGTGCAGTGTTGCCTTCTGCCAGAAAAAAAAAAAGCCCTACCTGACACATGAATTACCACAGGTCCCACATAGTGACACAATGGTTAGTTGACTTAACTGCCAAGACAACGATTCAATGCCAACATGTGGCAGGATTTTCTTCTTACTAACACGGCTTCAGGGTCAACTTGGCCTTATACAAGTAAAAATGGGTACCAGATAATTCTGGTTTTATCAAATTGGATTGGATTTTTTTTACCCCACCAGGACATCACACAAGCGATAAACACCCGATGACACAAAGTGCCACCATGCGGATGAGGATCACCGTGGAGAGGTCTCAGAAACCGCGTTCAGACATTTGGCCATAATGATGACCTGCCTATATTGCGGCCCCTGGCAAAAGCCAGAGTGGGGCTTCAAATAACAAAAAATTACGTCCTAAAAAGGACGTAATGATTAAATATGACCTTTTTATCAAATTTCTGGTGGTTAGGAAGAGAATAGCCACTCCACCTCACAAATTATGGCCTAAAATTTATGAATGCTTGATACTTCCCATCACAATAGCAATAAGTATTTCATGATTCCCGCCGGTGCTACAGAGCCTGTGCACTGAGCTGAGCTTCTTCTGACTCAAACTTGAGCATGAAGAAGAACGAAGCACTTATGGGTTACTCCCATTTACTTTTAATATCAAAAAATTATTTCCTTAACTCATTCTGTAATTCATATTATTACACATGAATTTATTTGTAATCATAATTGTTCTCGATATAAACGAAAGTTGAAGTAAAAATGCAATAATTCTTTAGTATAAGGAATTTAAAGTTCATTTATTGCTTATCATGAAAATGTTCTAGTTAGAGCATTTAACAATTTGTGTCTACATTCTTTCTTTCACTAAAAGAACTCAAATCTTTCTTATTACCTGTAAAATTGAATTTATTTTTAATCTACGATTAACTTGCGTACAATGAATAGATCAGAATGCAAACAATAATACTAATAAGAACAAAAACTGGAATGTTACTAATATAACTTTTACTATCTTAAGCAAATTACAAGAGTTATTTTTGTGCTATAGCATCGTGATTCTTACTTACAAAATAAATTAAAGTTACGTGCTATTGATTACACAAAGCAGCCGATGTGCACAGTTATAAAACAGATAATACTGTGGTCAGTTTGTTCCTGTTTCAGTTTCACAAACTTGTGAGCTGCCAGTAGCCAGCGCAGAACTAATGAGCCAGTTCCAAGAAATGCGAATGTAACTGCGTGAATCGATATTTTTAGATTGTCGTCATTCAAGCATTGCCCGCTGTGTTTGGTGCTGTCTCCATTAGAAAGAGAAGTAAACATCTAGCGGCTGGCGAAACTGTTCACAGGTTGTCTCTCACGAGCGAGAAGACCCCGGTTCTTCTTCATCTTATTCTTCGCGTAAACTTTAGGCTGTAAACTCTAGCGGAAAGTTCTGGTTGTTCATCCACTTCTAGACCAGTCCTTTTCCAGAATCTTGAGTGTTGCGTATTTTACAGATCTGACTTATTTGTATGCAGACTGTTGGTTCCTTGCCTCTCAGGCAGATGCACTCCGACTTCGAAGGAAGCTCCCAATTATGACATGCTTTTGGGTAGACAGTGGGTCTATTCTTGTTTTCCCTATAATAGGGCCCCAGATCCTACACGGGGAGACCCCGATTCGAATCATAGGTAAGATGGTGGAGATGCCTTCTTTCGGGTGCAAAAATAGACATCATAACCTGCACTTCGAGCCACCGGGATGTAGTGACTGAACACTCGCCTGTGGATCAGAAGGTCGTGGGTTTGATCGAAGCCGGACAGATGTCAAAAAGCACCCTGGCTCCCAGGTCTACTCAGCCTTAAATAGGTACCCGGGAAAGCCCTGGGAAGTAAAAGCGGTCGACGTGATGTTGACCACATCACCCACTGAGTGCTATTGGTCTATAAAATATAAGTATAACCGGTGCTTTATTAATATCCGACCCCAAACAGGGGAAATCCACGGGACAGTCTAATATTTTAGAGGTGGTTGATAGGCTGCATGCAGTCATGGGACCCAGGCTGCACTGTCTCGTGGGACATAGGTGGGTTAGGGTTAGGGCCAGTTCTAGATGTTTTGAGGTGGTTAAAAGCATCAGAAAGCCTGGAAACCCAGTCTTCTTCTTCTATTTCTCTTCTTGTGCCTTTCTATCCCCCAATGGAGCATAGGCCCTCAACCAACTCACGCCAAGTCGTTCTATCCTTCGCCATTGCATGGAGCTCTCCCCGTGCCCTCCCCATCTTTCTAACTTTATTCTCCAGTCTTTAGTAAAAAAAAGTAAAGATCCCTTTCCACCCCTTTAGGCGTATGGGGCATATGGGAAGAGCGCCCATATTTTTACAGACCATCAGCACTCGGTGGGTAATGTGGTCAGCATTACGCCGGCTGTCTTTACTTTCCCAGGACAGCCCATCCTGGTACCCACTTTAGTCTGGGTCGACCTGCGACATACCGTACCATGATAAAAATCCACGCATCCAGCGTGGGTTTCGATCGCGGTACGCTGGGTTACGAGTCGGACTTGCAACGCCTAAGCCACGGACGCCGCTCTCCAGTCTTACCACCCTATAAAATGCTGGGACTGCCCTGTGACGTCATCTGAGCGGTAGTATATTTTTAAAGGACCACACCGTCTAGTCCTAAAATTCCTTACGTCCTTTTTAGGACGTAATTTTTTGTTTTTTGAAGCCCCACTCTGGCTTTTGCCAGGGGCCGCAATATAGGCAGGTCATCAATATGGCCAATTGTCTGAACGCGGTTTCTGGGACCTCTCCACGGTGATCCTCATCCACATGGTGGCACTTTGTGTCATCGGGTGTTTATCGCTTTTGTGATGTCCTAGTGGGGTAGAAAGTCAGTCAGTCATAAATGCTCAGTTCCCGTGAAGGTGTGGAAGAGGGTCCTTTACTTTCTTACTAACCTGCACTTCTCCAGCCTAAAACCCCCATGTCCTACACTGCTCTAAAAAAGTGATACTATGGGTGTATAGGGCATACAGGGCTAGATCTGTGTTTTTATGCAACAATCGGCACTTGGTTGGTGATGTAATCAACACCACTCCCGGTCGCCTTTACTTCCCAGGACTTAACCAGGTACCCAAGATAGGTTGTGCCTACCTAAAATCCATGGCTATTTTTTTTTTTAATCCTAGGTAGACGAAGAGCACCTCTAAAGAGGTCCCAGAAACCCCGTTCAGCCAATAGGCCACATTTAAGGCCCGGCTATATTTAAAATCCAAGTCCAAGTCCTTTTAAGAAAAAAAAAAAGAAAAGCTCGACCACGTTCAGACTGCTGCTAGCTAGCCTAGGCTGCTAACAGTCTCCGCCTATATTTGTGGTCTGGGTTATTTGCGTCACTTTCGTGACTGAATACTGGTGTTTGTGCCATTTCTGGCTTAATGCTTCCCTCCGTATCAAACCGCTCGTCCTGTTGTCACTGGTGCATGTCTTTCTTCTTCATTCTTGGTGTTTCTTTCCTGTTTGTTCTGTCTCCCTTTGATCTGGCTAGGCGTATCTCGAAGGAGAGCGAGCTTCCAAACACAACGACCTTTCGGCCACCATTTATTGTTTTAAAATTTTGAGTATTTTAATTTTGCCAAAAAGTACTGAAAACAGTTTTTGAATGTGAATAGTTCCGAAATGTGAAAATTTTCCGCGTGTGACCATAGTGGTCTTATAGTTGTCTTCCTGTAATATAAACGGGTTAGTCATGTATTGGATATGTGTGTGAGAGTTTGTGTGGAGTCTTTAGCGGGTCCAGTCGTCATTTGTTATTATGTGATCGGGTTGTGTTGATAGCTAAGCTCCGGTGTATGTAAATACCATATAACCGGACCGTCCAGCTCACGCTTTGAGATCCAAATGATCGGCGATGAGAATTGTTGTGGCATGTTGGGCAACGAACTCAAGTGCTCTCTGTGGGAATGGGTTGGGGGGTTAAACTCATAGTGCATCCGAAAGATTTAGGGAAAGGTGGGGGGAAGGGGAGCGGGAGGCCATTCAGTCAATTCTCGTCGTTGCCGTCTTGCTGGATTCTAGCGTGGCTTTTTGCCGGGACTATGTGTATCACGTTACCAACCTTTGCTATCATCCCAGTGATGGGGTGGTATTGGAGGTTATGCGTTCTAGTCCTGTCATTATCGAGTCACTTGTATTCCCTATTTGCTGTCAGTCATATTTTTGTTATGAGTCCTGTCGGTCATGTGCATGTTGTATGCATGCTGTGGAGTGGGATGGTTTTGTTTATGAATCCCCTGAGTATATGGACGCACCCAACTAGGTGTATGCGTACATGCACTCGAGTACTCATACATGCAGACAACACTACATATTTGTACGTCCTTTCATATTTATCCGTATATGCATACCTAATTGACATTACGTACACACGCAAACTCTTTCATATGCGTTTACCAATGCCTGTACTTACATTCATTAAAAAAAAACGAGTACATCCACACGTAGTGATATTCACTCTTCCATGTCTTATGCGTGTTGTGTCGCTTTGTCTGTAATTTCGTCTGGTCGTGTCACTTTTAAGCTATGTCCCGTTACTGGTATGTGACCTGTCCGGTACTGACGTATCATGTTTTGGTGGATGGTATGCGATGACGTTCTTGCTGCTTACACCCTTCATTCCATTCGTTCTCATTAATGAACAGACATACAGCAACACAGTTTATGGTTTCTTTGATTGCACTGTCATTCATACACTCACAAATATATAAATATACACGCTCTCATATATA